TCAGGCTTGTTACGTGCAGTCCTAGCACAAATAGCACTTCTCCCCAGGGACGCCTTCTTTTGTAAACAAAGCAACAAGACCGCACGGTGACGGGCATGGCTGTGGTCAGGGATGCCCACTGCGTCCGCAGCCCGGCTGGTCGGCCACGGTGCTGCGTCTGGGTCTGACTGCCATGCCTCCTGCTCTTCCCCTCTCCATTCCAGGGAGTGGAAAGATGCATAAAGCACACACCCGAATCCGCCACCTGGGAAGGGACAAATGACTCCCTCACTCTCAGCGGTGGCGGCTGCTCTGGAACCCACATAAATGAGATGCAGGTGGAGCCTCCTCCCAGCTAGGCCCAGAGCCACTTCTGACCGGCTGGTCTGCAGCTCCCGCAGCTTCCTCAGTGCACCTGTTTCCACTTCCTGCTTTAAGCTTTGCTTTCGCTCTCCCGACCTGTGCGGACGGCACCCTGGCCACGCTCTTCTTCCCGTCTCCTCCCTCCCCCCGCCGGGGCTCACAGATCGCAGTTCTGTCCTCTCCACCCCCTCCACACACGCAGAGCAGCAGGCCGCACAGGTGGGACTGCACCTGGCCGCTCCCCAGCTCTCTGCTGTCCTCTTCTGGCTTTCTGCGACACGAGCCCCAGGGCCACTACGCCTCCACGTGCCCACTGCCCTTTATGAAGCAGCCTATGCACATGCACGGCGTCTCCACCACCACGCTGCTCCTCTTCACCACCTCAAGGACGTGCGTGTGGTCTGCTCCTCTCTCTCCATCCTCCTGCAAGGGGGACTGACTTCTGTCAGTGCTGTCCCAGCACCAAGACAGCTTGGCACCTAAGGCCTGCTAAGCCCATGGCTGAGTGCTGGACACTGCCAGCCCCATTCAGGGCCTGTTCACCTTGATGGCTGGCTTCACAGTAACTGCTTCTGGGCTAGAGCCAAATCAAAGTGTACCGGAACTGGTTTTTTTCTATTTTAAGGTCCCTTACGTGGTCCTCTTTTAAAGGAAGTTTAACCCGACCTTTCCCTTCCATACACCACCTGTGCTGACTCTTCGGGGGTATGGTGAGAACGCCTAGCATCACATTTAATTTTGTGAGTTTCCATCATGACCGGCTTTGTCAACCTTGACCTTTCCAGACTGAAAACCTCTAACTGTAGCCTGCCTCTACTGTACGCACGTTCCGCGTGAGCCTCGTCATTCTGCAAATGCGGATAGCAGACCACAAGCGTGGCCTTCAGTCTTCCAAAATCAAGTCTGATGTCATCAGCCTCCCTTTTAGTCTGTGCAGGGATCACGACTCCAGTGAACACTGTGTGAAGACCCTAGGTAACGTCCAGATAACTGTTACTACGACCCAGAGTCGCCAAGGACGGGTTGTTTCACTGGGGTTATTTTCTTTCACTAGCACTACATTTTGCTAACTTACAATGACACCCATCTGACCTCTCCTTCCTATGCACATATCCTGTAATATCCTCCTGGAATGCTGCCCAAGACATGTTTATCTTACTTCCGTCAGCAGCAAACTTGAGTATTTCAGGGAGGAAACCCTCTTCCAAAACGATCATAGTAAACTAGTTTTAGAATTGCTCCAGGCCAAGTCTACTACGAAATTCAGTTTTTGAGTTTCCCTAAGAATTGCTAATACATGAAAGGGTTCCTCCTCCATCCGGGGCCAGGACTAAAACTGTGAAGGTTGCCTTCACAGCCACGTGTGCTTCCATTTCCCTAGCTCTGTTAGTTCTACGCGTGCACAGATAAACTTCCACGTCTCGTGCGGAAAGCAGAAGAAAGGAAGAAGGAATAACGGAAGCAAATAACTCAGTACCCCCGGAAATATGTAGCGCTCAGGGCCCCAGTCTTGATGTCTTCGTCATCTGTAAATTCAAGGAAATAATTCTTGCTTGTTTCCTTCCTCTTGGAGATACTGTGAAGGCAAGAGGCCAAGCAATCTGAACTCGTGAACAAAAGGAGATGATATAAATGGAAAGAACTGCTTTCTATTTTCCTAATGTAAAAAAAAATCTCAGAGTACCATAGCAAGCCTGCAGCAGCATCTTTTGTAAACACAGTTCATTTCTTTTTGAAGATGAGAAATAAGGACATGAAATAAGCAATTAATTAATGAACGTAGAATGTCACGGGAAACATCAATAGAACCGCCATGTTCAATTTTAGGTCTGCAACTATTCCAAGTATATCTTTGGAAGAGGGTCATATAATTAAGAATTTTATACATTGAAGCTAACATAAAATTCAGACAAACATATTTAGGGAGTTCTGTGGAATTTGCGTTATTAGAGCGGGTGAGGTCACATTTGACAATATGTTTTATATAATGACCAGAAACTTTAGTAATACTAATGAGTACTTTGAGACTTGTAGAAAAAATTTCCATTAACCAGAACACAGGCAACATCAATGTGAAGCCAAGGAAAATATTACAGTAAGTAAATACAGAGTCATTCTGAAATATCCTACAAAATAGAGAAGCCATGCTTCAAGCAGAAGTAGGAACTTTTATCTAATGGTAAGCTATACATTCATGGATGTACAAATAGACTTTCATTTTCATTTAAAAAGTTACAATGGCATGTGATAGTTTTAGACATAACTCAGTTACTGAAGTATGACTAAAAATGTATCGTACCTCTACATGTATTCTCATTATCCTCCCCCAGAAATGTGGCAAAACGTTCTGTTCAAAGAATTCAGATATTTTAGCCATGTTTTGTGGTTGGCCATTTTAGACTATCATTTTTAATAAGAACCAACATTTAATGTTCAAAATTTTCATCAAACAGATTCGTTAAAGTAAACATAATTTGGTCATGGAAAGTCCTTTAGACAAAGCAAGTCCAAATAATATGACTTACATCCTGTATATATTGACAAATTTTAAGTTGTCGTGGATGATGAAAAGCAACTTTCAGTCACAAATCCTGGGTAAAAATGTTTCCCTTCAGATGAACACTTCTTATGTGCTTTTCCAATCATGATACTGACGGTATTAACTATTTATATACTTCTATTCTTTTAACTGCTAATTATCATCTCTCTACAACTGCTAATAAAACGTAACTGTGTGTCACTGAGACAAGCATGAATTTCCATAGAAATTGTGGGTTCTAATTTCCCAGAGAGAAACTTTTCTCTTCCTGCTGCAGCTAATCAAGTTAAATGAAAAATGGGTAATGTCCTATGTGTGAACTCAAAGGGAGACCATATCTACCAAAGCTGCCTTCCTCCCAAATGCTTCCACCTGACCTTCACTGGGAATTCCTTGGTCTCACACGCTAGAAGACGAAAAAAGTCATTTCTTTTCCTATTCCACAGGCCACAGTCATTTGAAAATAATTAATATTAGTATTTACCCTGAAAATGTAATAAAAAATAAGAATTCTTATTCTCACCTACCAGGACTTTCTAAGTTTCAAAGTAAATATCACAGAATTATTTTACAATACATGTATTATGTATTTTTAATGTGGTCTCTGCATCATATTAAATACAATTTTGTGTACATTTAACCTTTCTGAAAATTTCCACTGTATCCAATAATACCCACTGAATACTATTTGCAATAATTGTCCTTCACTGTCTTTTCTTAGTTCTTACAGGCCTGTTGTTCGTTATTTTTCATGAGTTAGGATTCCAAGTAGGTGGGCTTTATTGTCTTAAGCTCATTGTTATCATCATCACGAACACATCTCTGCAAGTTTATTTTCTTCTGAGAAACGACTGACTTAAACAGCTCTCACTGAACATAAGCCTTCAGCAGTGATCTCTCCAAATTTAAAATATATCTCATCCTAACCCTCAAGACTGCCTCCTCAGAAGAACTAAACTGACAAAGCTCCATATCTGTACAGTGACTCTTGTAGCTATAACAGCCAAAAGGAAAAATGGCACCTTGTGCTGGTTCCTCCCCTTTATTGCAATACCACATGAGGTAGGTGCTCTAGCATGGGCCATACAATGTCTTTCCTGGTGAAGAAAAGGAACAAAATGTCTTCAAAATGCAAGTTTAAAAGCTCTCCACCTTCAGCCAGCTCTTATATGCACTGCCATAGCTACAGATCATCACAAAACGCTTGTAGCACACAGAACAACTAAGTCGACATCAGCAAAGAAGGCCTCTCTCCACACTATTCTATTTTCAACCAAGTCTCTGACGTAGGAGACAGCGACTGTCTCCAGGCCATCTCGCCACATACCCTGGGAAACCCCCACGGTAAAGCAGCAGAAGCAGCTGTTTCACACCCAAGAAGTGACCTCCAAATCCCGGACACCATGCGCTGGTGTGGAGGAAATAGAAGATCCACCTCTCTGGCAGAGACAAAGCAATCAAATAAAAATAAACCATAAAAAAGAATCTCAAGAAACCTTGGACTGACTTTTAGCGAAAGCGAGCATATGCGTATGCATATGCACGCCCAGCAAGGACAGAACACTGGCAAGGCCGCCTGGCTCCCAGTCAGGCTTAGCAGTAACCCAAGCTACAGCTCAGGTGCTGCCTCGGAAGAGTGTCAGAGACGTGAAAGAGGGCCTGGCATGTTGAAAGGGTTGTGCATTTCCTTATTTTGCAGTCCCTAGAAAGGACCTTCCTCAGTGTAGTCTAAGGCATTCAGTTTTCCAAAGGAGCGAGTAACCCAGAAGCTGGGGCTAGGTTCTCTCCGCCGCTCTGGTGCTAACACTCAGGGCCTGATGTAGAGCCCTGCCCACAACTGAGCTCAGTAAATACTTGCTGAAGGAATGAGTGGGTGATAAACTTTAAATGCTGTATCGATAACTGGCCAATCAGCATGAAAATATTTGCTGAAGTATGAAAATGGCTTCTTCCTGAAATGAAGTAACTTCTTCTGTTCCTCAACATGTTGAAATTAGGCACATGATCTCAGACTGACGAACTGTTTCAGACTTGGAGGACATTTTTTCCCTCACCCGATGGTCTATTTTTAAAATCCCCGAAGTGGACTCACATCAGACATTCAACCACCAAGGATTACCTTTGTTACAAAAGTATTCCACTTCTTCGCAGCTCAGATTTCCGGGCCCAAATCCGGAGGGAAAGCTTTCCTCCAGGGGAAAGTCTCCTTTGGAGAGGACGTCTGTCTCTTCTGAGGGACACTCTTCCTCCTCGTCCTCAATGGCGTCTTCAAGCGGCCCTTGAAAGAGAATCAGGGACACTGTACCAGGCACATCCAAGAAGACAGTGACACAAAATCCTGACAGGGGGTCTCTGTGAGGCCAGCACTGGGGGCAAGGAAAGCCGAGCAGCATCACAGGGGCTCACGCAGGGAGATGCCATCCCATGCCACAGGAAGTGCTGGCCCTGGGGAGAGGTCACGGGCATCCCCACCCCCACCCCAAACTTAGTTTTTATTCTCTCCTAAAGAGCGAAAGTGTGTACTTTATGTTCATTTGTTAGAATTAACTGCCTGCTAAAGAGTACAAGTCTCTTTTACACTGTTGGACAATTTTACCTGAGATTTTAATAAAGATTTAAAGTAATTGAATGCATTTTAATTGAACTGAGATTTTAATAAAGTCTATACTTTTAAAAATCCATCTTAAGAGTGGATTCCAAGAAAAGATTTCATTATATGTGTTTGAGGCTTGAAGAAAAATTACATATTTCTCTCCCTGATGAAAGCATAACCCTATTCATAATTAATTGAATTTTTTCTGAAATGAAAAGTAGTTTTCTAATGAAAAAATGTAATTTGTATTTATGTGATACTTTTTCAGTAATAAAAATACAACTCCCTGGGAGAGAATGAGAGCGCAGTGCACTACATTAATGGACCTATTTCGCTGAAAGGAAAGGGAGGGCTGGAGTTGTTCAGCTGGCTCTCAGTGCGCCGTGTGGGGACAGCGTGCGCCCTGTGTGACTCTAATGCCTCTGAAGCCGCAGTCTCTGACTCACTCCCCTAAGCAGAAGTCTACATCTACTCCTGAGGAAGCAGTGAGGCAACGGCACCGAAGAATACAATTATGGTAATTTGTACTGATTGTCACTCCGGCCATCAGATGGGCTAAATACACGAAGGTCCAGAAAGCCTCTACCTCCTGCTTCATAGAAATGGGCCCGAAAACATTCAGGGTTGAGGAGACATCTTAGAAATAACTTAGGATGTACATCGTACAGTTTTTATGGTGAGTCTGTAACAGGAACATGTTCCTGCATACACAGACCTCGCACACACACAAGATGTATCTTGGGTTTTCCCCAGGGCCAGTTTGCAGAGGACTGGACATATCTATAAAAGTACAGCTAGCTACATGGGTTTAAGTTAAGGAACACGCAAAAGATTTCTCTCGGAGATTCTTTGTCCTTTTTAGGACAAGAGATGCCCGGACTCCAAACATGCTGTCCCCACTCCGCCTTCTTCCACGGTCCTGATGCTCCCGGCGGGGCGGAAGGGTCGTGGGGCCAGGGTTTGCACAAGTCACACTCGGAAGTCATGGCTCTCACACACTTTTTAACCTCCCACTAACTATTTCAAGTTGAACATTTATAATCTTCCACTTTTTAAAATAGCTATATCAAACATGCAAGAAATATATAAAGTAACAATAATGTAAAATATTACAATCCTTAAAATATGTATTTGATAATTTCAGAAGACAGGTTTCATTATTAATGCGGAGTCTAATGAGGGCGCTGATAGAGTATTTCCTTTCTTTTTACTTTTCAAACAACTTCATTACGGTAACAGGCTAGGTCAGAAGAAGCCCCGTGGAGCTCTCTCATTTAGGGCTCAAGTGGGAGCTTGAAACCACTTCCTTACATGATCTCTGAATGACCTGGTGAGCCGGGGATACTGGGGATATTACTATTTTTAGTTTCCAGATCTGGAATGTAAAGTTTCAGGGGTCAGTTAACGAAAAAGGTTGCAAGCTACTAAATGAAAAAAATGGGATTTGCAAACTCAGTATTTCAATAGCATTTATTTATATAACACTGTACTATGTAAACCGTTCTCTGGTCATTGCAAACCTGTTCTTCAGAAACAAAACTGTAATACATAGGTAACGCCATAAACACAAAGCTCAGAAAATCGTTAATTCCGATTTACATGGTTACTTATACACAGATGTTTGAAGATCTACACTAAAAATTGACAAATCTCTTCTGTGCTTCTCAGATTACTGAAAATGAACCAAAATATTAGGTTCCCACCTCTCCTCCAAAAAGGAAGAAGATCATTTTTAGACTTCCTGAAACTGAAATAGTGAATTACTAATATTTATTACTTACATAATTTATATCCACAGTGAATCAACCTGAAAAGTAAACACTTTAATAACAACTACACAGAAATGACAATATATACTTCTTTAAGAATATATTCTTTGATAACATATACGCTGAGTTTTGCTAACAAAGAGTAAAGCTCCAATTGTAAGATAAATATTTCAAATGACTCACATATAAAATATGAAAAATGGAATGTCTGCATATACTAAAGACAGCAATGCATATAGCAATAAAATTAACAGTAATAAAATGGTTTCTTCTAAAAATGAAATTTTGAGCATACACAGTAACATTTTTGAAGAGGCTTTATTTAGGATGGAATGTAATTGAATGATTATTCAAAATACTAACAATAAATAAGCTTTTGTTATGTGAAATAAAATTCAAAATTAACAGTTTATTAAAGGTTCAATAGATAAGCTCCGGTGAAAATCTGAAAGAAAACAAAACCACAAAGCATTGATTTATGCTTAGTAAAACTCAAACCAAGTCAATGTGGAGTGTGTGTGTGTGTGTGTGTGTGTGTGTGTGTGTGTGTGTACTTCTAAATTGATAGCATAGTATTACAAGGCTTGTTTTACTTTAGTGTCGGCTAACACTTTGCAATTCCAAGCATGCAACTTATTTTCAAAAAAACATTTACTTTCAAAAACAAACTGCAAAAACCGAAATAAAAACTGAGCACCCTTTGAACTCACGTGTTCAAAACACATGCTCTCTCACTGCCGATATTTAGCATGGGCCACAAGAAAGTGATGAATGGCCATCTTGCATTGCTCCAAAAGCAAACGTCAGATTTGTAAAGCTTGGTTTAAAATGTGAACTTAATAACCCTTTCCTTAACCATGCCACCAAATCAGATGCGGAGAAGAGTGGCTCTCTTAAAATGCACAGAATTTATGGTTTTAGATCCGAGCTCTCTCTTCTCTCCCTATTGCATGTTTCTTTAAGAAACAGATCATCGGTGGCCATAAACTAACATTTTAAGAGGGTGAGAGACACTTGAAGCACAGGGTAATTAACAGCACCAATGAAGGAGGGAATGAAGGAAGCTCCTGGGTATGGATTACTGGGTACCGAAGTCCACTTCAGAAAAATCACCACACGTAATTTGACACAAATAATAATATCTACTCAGAAAAGGCTCACAACTGAGCTCCATGTGCCCTCATGGAGAAAATTACTTCTGATTGAGACCACTCGGCAGGCAAGTGTAAGGAAATCTGCATACCAGCTCTTCAATTGCTTTCGATGTACAGATATCCAAACACACTTGCCAGAATTAATCGTCCTGATGTTTGTAAATATCAACATTTACCTCATGTTTGAATGCTAATAATTCACTGTCTATCCTAGAACTCTGGGTATAACCAGTGGTGCTCTAGGTGAGGCCCATACTGCTGTGAATTGCTCTCAGCACAAATAAGGAGGCTGCCCTCACGGTTTACACTGGAAAACCAATGGGTGCAGAGCAGCAGCGCCAGTGTGGGAGAAGAGAGACAACTGAGAACTTGGGACCCTCTGAAGTGGCCACAGCTACCTCTGCCCTCAAGAGATCCAGCCGGGCAGAGAAAGGAGCTTCTGCAGAATCTGACCAGCAGTGATGGTGGACACACCACCGCCTCCCAGCTTCCAACAGTCAGCAACACTGGGCAACCGTGTCCAACCGAAGGTGGACACACCAGAGAAGTCTCCCTCTGCGCATTATTTCAATAATCAGGAGTGGATAAAGGGCAGCAGAATGTTCAGTATCAAGTAATTATAACCCATTCATTGACAGCAGAGTCACTGACGGATTGAGAATAAAGAACTAGATATATACAGCTCTGCATTTACAGGAACAACTTCCTTCCCCAGAGAAATGCATTTCTGTTGGGACAGTTTCAGGGGGTTAAAGAAAACCCCCAAAACACATCCACAGTAAGCAACATAAGAGCTAGAACTTGACAAAAAGACAGCTGGAGAGAAAAAATAAAATATAAGTAAAAGTTCAGGAACATTAAAGTTAACACAATGATGAAATGCAAGAAATGGTAAGGACCAGTGTAGCAAATACGAAATGGGATGCATGTCTCTTCCCACGTAGCTGCCGCGATGAATACCTCTGACTGGCGTTCTGCTAGGACCGAACCTTCACCGAAATGCAGAATAGCTTTTCTTGGATAAATGAAAAGCTCTTCAGAATAAGACGCATCCAAGAAATAAATTAAATTCTACAGAAATTAATATATATCCTCATATATGAGGAACGGAAGGAAGTGCCAAATTCATTCTATGGTGCCTGTGCAATATTCCCCAGAAAAGGTCCTATCTCTTGAATGCTCGCTGGCATTGATTTTTTAGACACCAGGTTGGCTGGGCTTTGCCTGCATTTGATGAGGACAAGGCGCCCTATAATAATGCTACTGCAGGGAGCACTCCGTCTCTGCTCCACCCATTAATATTCTCCGCATTCCGGAGGCTGCACAAGACTAGCCACTGAGCAAAATGAGATTGTTTCAGAGCTCTGGGCAGCCCTGATTGCGTCTGGCAGGTGGGGAGAAAGTCACATTAAAATACTACCATTCCAGTAATTGTAATCATCGACCGGTGTGCTCCGAAATTCAGCTAGGTGAGTTTCGCCAGGAAAACACACAAAAATTTCCAGAGTGTTTTTTATTCTGGTGCTTCTCAACATTTATCATTTTGAGTCCTTTTTATAGCAGGTATTACTGACATTGAAAATTAAAAACTTTTATCCCAAACTTTACATCATTTTACTCATACACAGAACAAAGAACCCACACCAACCGGAAAAAATTCTCAAAATCTTAATGCATGAATGAAGATGAAAATGTTGAAGCTCTGCCCGAGTGGCTAGCTCCTGCTCCCTCGTAAGTTCCTTGCACTGGACTGACTCACACA